CAACAAATTATCCTTGGGGGGAAAAAAATTGGTTTACCTGCTCTTTGTTTCTTTCTTTCTTGTCTCTGTCATCCAATAACATGAGGAAATCCAGTGAAATTCCAACACAAAAGAGACAAAAGGTTGTTCATCTGCTTCAAAGAAGTAGTCATTGATCAGAATTGCATAGTTTATTTGAGAATTCCATAGTTTAATTCAGAATTGCATAGTTTCAAAACATTATACAACCTATATACAGTAATAGATAGATAGATAGATACACAAACAACTATAAGAAACAATATACAACCTGTATAACAACAAGCATAGAACTTGTGGGGACATTTGGCTCTCTAGGGTGAGATTTAAGTGTAGGCATAGCATTAATTAGCTGCATTAAAACAAGGATAGTTAGACTGGTTTGCGTGTGTGTGTGTGTGTGTGAGAGAGAGAGAGAGAGAGAGAGAGAGAGAGACTGAGACTAAATCACTCCTATGGTGGTGAGTTTGGAATCGTAGATACACAACCAACTTGCAGTCTTTCCGGGTCTCTCAAACTACCAGCTTCTGACAAAACAGGAAGAGAAATAATATCAAATACACTCTGCTTACATCACAAATACTAGGCATGAAAGTGAAAATATCTGTACATAGTCCAAATACATTAAAGTAGCAAAATGACCAAATGACCAAGTCCAGATGACAATTTGGGAATTTGAGTGACTCCACTCCATGACACTCACTGCTTGCTTGCTGATTTTCAGGGGAGATGAAAATCAATCACTGTCTTTACTGTTTTTTGTATATTTACTCCATGTTGGTTTCAGTACACCACAAAGCCAGACAGGCCACTTCTGTTCTGCAGGCAGACTCATCATTGTTGGTATTGAGGCCTATTAAAGTTGTGTCATCTGAAAATTTTATCAACTTGATGGGTTGCTGGATGCGCACTTAGAGGAGAAGTGAGGGTACACAGCTTTGTGGAGTCCCAGTGCTGATAGATAGGGTTTCTGACTGTTACCGTCCCAGCCACACAAACTGTCTCCTGTCTGTTATCCTCCACATATGTAATCACAAAGTTTAAATCAATTCAGTTCAACTTTATTTGTATAGCGCTTTTAACAATAGTCATTGTCACAAAGCAGCTTTATGGAAATATATAAATTTAGGATATAAGTTTTAAACTTATAAATTTATACATTTATCCCTAATTAGCAAGCCAGATGTGATGGTGGCAAGGAAAAACTCCCTGAGATGGCACGAGGAAGAAACCTTGAGAGGAACCAGACTCAAAAGGGAACCCATCCTCATCTGGGTGACAATGAATTGTGTAATTATAAACAATTCCCTTCTATAACAACTGTTCAGTGATGGAGACTTGAGTGCAAAACTGTTCGTGGCAATTGCAGTCCTAAAGCTATCATAGCAGTTGTAGTTCGAAGCCATTGTAGCAAGACTGTTCATATCAACTGCAGGCCAAAGCCATCTTCAAGGTTTTTAAGTGGTACCACCCTCAGTAATCTCATTGATCTTTAGGTTGTCCATGTGGGTCCATCCTCAGCAGCAGAGTGATTTCCAAGTGATGAGAACTCCAACCAGAAGTAGGGCATCAGGATGAATCAGGGAGGTCCGGAGAGCAGAAGGGGTCAGGATCACTGGTATCTCAGGAGTAGCATGTGTAGCTTGACAGGGAGAGAGAGAGAGAGAGAGGGAGATGGAGAGAGAGAGATTGTTAGGTATGCTAATTGTCACGTAATGGTTAAGAACAATTTATTTGTGTGTACAGTGCAGGCAGGGACTCCAGCAAGACTAGCTGTGACAGCATAACTAAAAGGGAGAGCCAGAAGGTAACACAGACATGAGGGCACCCTGGGACATAAAGCACCCAGCAACTCAACAGACACAAACCTGAGTGAATGTGTGAGAGTGGGGCGGCGACAGCATCCAAACATCCCAGTTCACCACAACACTCTATGAGACTGTCTCACAGACAGTAAAGCATTACAATAATCCAACCTAGAGGTAACAAAACCATGAAATCACTATGCCACCTTTAAAAACACTTATTTCTTATTTCTCCAAAGTCCAAATCAATATCATGAAATGTGCGAGATTTGTGTCAGTTCTGTGACTCATGCAGAGAAAAAAGAAAACCTCTGGATTGTTCACATTACAGATCATACAACATTACACATCATATGACATCACACAACATTACACATCATACATTACATATGATACATCACAAATCATACATCACATGACATTACACATTGTATGACATTACACATCAGACATCACACATCATTACACGTCATACAACGTCAAACATCATACAACATTACACATCATGTGACATCACACATCATATTCATACATCATATTTTATATTTCTCCAAAGTCCAAATCAATATCATGAAATGTGCAAGCTTTGTATCTGTTCTGTGCTGAGAAAACAGAAAAAATTCTGGATTGTTCACATTACACATCATACAACGTTACACATCATATGACATACATACATTCCAATCAACTAACTCTACAGAACCCTTAAATAACAGGTCACTAACTGCAATACAATGTTGACATTTACCAGACACCAAAACTGATATAGGGTGATTGTATTCTGTACATTTTAGTAGTTCTGCACACTTTTTTGCAACATAAATATCCTCTGGCTGTCTCGCTACCAGAAACACTCTCATAATATATTAATCTTGCTTGCCATGTGTGCACACATGAGGTTAATCATTTTCTGTGTGTGGAATTGACTCCAAAGCTTTGGTGTCGACTCTTAGTTTTTCATGTTTTGTCAAGTTATGTCTTGAAGCCAACAGTGTAGTGTAATGTAAAGAGACTTTAGAGGTCATTCTTTGTGATAACACTAGGGTTGCCACTATCAATGAGGTAAAATAGATTCAGGATGGGGTGATTTCTACTTCCTTTTTTGTTATCAAAAGATAAAGAACTTGAAAAGAACCTGATAAGGTGCTCTTGCCCATGTATTACCTCTATTGCCCATTTTTCTAGAAGAAACTATACTTTTGCAGTCAGTATTTGCATGGATTTACATGCAGAGCTTCTTCAGCCTGTACCACTACTACTTACGCTGGTGTCCCTACTGGAGGCATTGATCTCAATCCTAGTGCTTTCACATTTCCCATTGCAGCCAGTATGCCTATTCCTTATCAGGCCTCACCTTTAATGGACTCTTGAATGTGCTCTTTATTCAAATTGGTACATTGTGGAATAACCCAATCACTTGCTTGTGTGGATGTATAACAAAATTGGTTAGGTATATGATAAGCTGTTGTGTGGAAGATCTAGCACTTTGATATCTGGGCAGCCCAAGATCTCCATCGGCATCGTAAGATGCTGCCACAACCTGCCTACTTTATTCGGTACATGAAGCCTAGAGGTTCATCTCGACAAGCAGGTTGAAAGCTCCGCACCAGGCCCACAAAATAAAACCAAGAAGACTCCAGCATGGCAAGGTGGAACATCAGGGCTATGTGTCCTGGACTCACATCCGACATCCAACGCAAAACTGTTGTAATCAACAGGGAAATCTGCAGACTGAACATTGATACTGCTGCTCTCCAGGAGACTAGACTGGCAATTATTGATTCTATTATTGGGAGTAAATACCTAAATAAATACCTATTGGGAGACTCTATGCATCTCCATCCAGTCAGCTGCAGACACGAGAGATACTAGAAGAATGTAGGCTGGCATAAAGGCCACTGGCTGCATAGTGGCCAAACCAGCCCCACTGAAATTCAAAAATACTACCTTGGAGTTGTATGCAACCCAGAACGTGGTCACAGGTGCTGCCCTAGATGTCATACTCGATCTGCCAGTTAGGGAGGATCTAAACTTGTTGTCAACACTGAAAAAGTTCAGCAAATCTATTAACCACCTCGCTTGTGGGAAAGCTACTGGTGTGGGAAACCTGTGTTGCTAAAACATCTGCCCAAGCACAGGCTGCTTCAGCAACTCAACATCCGAAGCCTTCTGTGTAAGCAGTGGCGTGAAACAGGGTTGTGTCCTGGACTTGACGGTCTTTAGGATCTTCTCTGTGCTCCTTCAGTATGCCTATAGAGATTATTCCGAGGTTATCTACCTGCACACCAGTGGTGAGGGCAACCAATTCAACATCTCCAGCCTCTGCAACAAGACCAAGGTCTGAAAATTTTTCATCCGCAAGCTGCTATTCACAGATGAGACAGCATTAGCTTCCTACACAGGAGCCCACCTGCAGAGCTTCATTGATCCCACATTTGCAACGAGTTCAGGCTGAGGATCAGTTTGAAAAGGATCAATGACATGGCCTAGGAAACTGATTCCCCTCCAGCTATCACCATAGATGGCTACCTCCTGGTCGACACATTTACGTATCTTGAGTCAATCATCTCAAGCACTCTTTCGCTATCTGCCGAGGTGAACAACAGAATTGTGAAGCAACAGCCTCCTCACCAAGAGCACTAAAGTGAGGATATACAAAGCCTGTGTCTTCGGCACTCTCTTCTATAGCATCAATGCCTGGACAAACAATGTAGACCAGGAAATGAGGTTGAACAGCTTCCACCTGAACAGCTTTTTACCAATAGAAGCACAACCTCAGAAAGGTTTCGCCAGACAACTGTCCAGATGGTGAGGCTAGCTTATGCACAGAGAAGAAGTGAATGGAGGGGGGAGAGATAAGAGAAAACCAAGCCTAATGCCAGCTGTGTCTGGAAGTGCTATCACCTCTGACCTTGATGACACCAGTAAAAATGATATATAATCCCAAAACAAATGAGAAATACAGCATCTTTAAAAACAGGCTAGGCATAACATGAACCAGAATACATGTTGTTGTTGTTCCTTCAACTGCTCCCGTTAAGGGTCTCCACAGGGATCATTGGTCTACATGTTTGATTTGGCACAGGTGTTATGCCGGATGCCCTTTCTGACGCAACGCTCCCATTTTATCCAGGCTTGGGACCAGCACTGAGAGTACACTCCCAGGGGCTGGGTTTGTTCCCTAACCAGGAATCAAACCCGGACCTCAGCAGAGAGAGCACAGGATCCTTAGCCACTAGACCACCAAGGACATGAAACAGAATGCATGAATAAACATAAACTTTAGCAAATATCATAAAATCAGAGGCAAATAATTAGAATCATCCCCAGCATGCTCACCGTTCTCATGGTCATGTCAGGTGTATGGACCCTGGCTGCACTCCCAAAGACCAGTTGGATGTTAGTATAACAGTTAGCATAGAGCTGTTTGTCTTTGTCATTCCTGCATACACCTTTGGAACCATGCTCCACTGGAGTGCTCAGTTGTACTGAAGACTGTCACAAATTGGATTATGTAAAAAAAAAAAAATCTCAAAAGGTAAGCCTAATTCATAATCAGTTAATCAATTTACCACTTTCACCAATTTACCATCCTTTTCACCAATTATCATTACATACTGATTTTATAGGACTCTCAGAGCATTGTCATTTTAAGAATTTAAGATGACTTGACTTAATGAGCCTAATATTAGTGCCTAAAATGTGAGCACATTTCGTAGTCTTGAAGTTTTTTAAAATTACAAATTATATAAAAATTAATGTCAGCACAATGTAATTTTAGTGAAATTTAGAAAAATTATAAAATATATGAACAAAAATTGTCACTAATATTTCTAGATTTACAGAAATATAGATTAGTATAATCTACCTTCTTTATTTTTACAGACCAAAAATCTAATTAGGCCTCAAAAATTGTTAGACGGAGATCAGAAATTGCTGCTCCAAACATGTGATGTGGATTATGTCATACGTTTACACCACAAGAAGACCTCGCTTGCAGATACAATTCCTGGTGGCCTTGGTGTTTACCATTTGCAGATGGATGGGCTGGTCAAACAGTTTAATCAATCATTTTAAAAAATATGATTTCTAGGTTCATTCATGATGATGCTCGGAATTGGGATAAGTGGCTCAAACCTCTGTTATTTGCAGTATGAGAGGTCCCACAAGCCTCCACGGGGTTTTCTCCATTAAAATTATCGTATTGGTGCAAGCCTTGTGGCTTCTTAGATGTCATCAGGGAAAATTAGGAGGAGGGACCTTTCCTACAGCAAAAATGAAATTCAGTAATTTCTGGACCTGAGAGCAAAACTCCACACTTTAAGTCACCTAACTCAGGAGAATTTGCATCAGGCCCAAGAACGACAGTCCCGACTGTATGCCAGGGGTATTTGGCTATGGGAATTTGCACTGGGAGATAAGGTACTCATTTTTACTACCCACATAGAGCTCTAAATTACTCGCAAAGTTGCAAGGACCCTTTGAGGTCACATGGTCATTAGGAGAAGTCGACTATGAGGTCAGGCGAATGGATAGAGGCAATGCATGTCAAATATACCACCTCAATCCCTTGAAACCGTGGAGAGAGGTGGTTCCAGTGGCTCTAGTGATGGTGGTTCCTTAGAGGGAGAAGCTGGGACCAGAGGTAAGTCTAAAAAGTGTGGCCCAATTCACCCAGTCCCCTGTAGCGACCACCTCTCACGATCCCAGACAGCACAGGTTGCCAGGATGCAAGAGGAATTTTCAGATGTGTTTTTGCCTCTACCCAGTCGCACAGACCTCATAGAACCCCACATCATATTTGGTTGTATGCAGCCGCCCATACTGGTTACCTGAACACAAAAAAGTGGTTTGGGATGAACTCAAGGCTATGCTTGACGTGGGAGTAATTGAGGAGTCCCACAGTGATTGGAGCAGCCTGGTGGCCTTGGTGCCCAAGGCTGACAGGTTGGTCCATTTTTATGTAGACTTTAGAAAAGTCAATACAGTGTCTAAATTTGACGCATACCCAATGCCATGCATTGATGAACCGCTTGATTGGTTAGGTACGGCTCACTTTTATTCAACACTGAACTTAACCAAGGGGTATTTGCAGATTCCCTTGACTCCAATATCTCAAGAAAAAATGGCCTTTTCCACTCTGTTTGGGTTACACCAAATTTGTCACCTTTCTGTTTGGTTTGTTTGGTCCCCAATGAATTTCAAAGTCTCTTGGACAGAACACTCAGCCCTCACTGTGCATATGCTGCTGCTTATTTAGATTACATAATCATTTACAGTAATGATTAACAGTGGCATTTACAACATCTGAGAGCTGTCAGTAGATCCTTGAGATGGGCGGGGCTCACAGCAAATCCAATGGGCCATGGGCAGGTGCATCCCCAAATTGACAGCAGCGATTGCAGCCTGCCCGAGACCCAAGACCAAAATGTGGGTAAGGCAGATTCTGGGGCTGGCTATTATCATAGGTTTGTGCCTAATTTTTTCGGACATCACCAGCCTGCTGACTGACCTCACTAAAAAGGGAGTGCCAGATCTGGCGCAAATAAACACCGACCCGGAGCTGTGCTAAAATTACGCCTGTCTCCTGAGTCTTCCTCTGCACCCTTACGCAATAGGGTTCTACAACTTTTTATACTAGACAACATTCCCTGAAAATTCATTCATCTAACACGAATAGTTCAAAAGTAATGGCATGTGAAACTTTGTAACTTTTTCTGTAACTTGCATTTTTACAGGGCCATATCCATTTCCAAAGCCTCTATATCTCAAAAAACTAATGCTGATAATGCAGTAAGTTGTACACTGTTTATTGGGAATAGTGACATTATTTCCAGAAAGTATTAAACAAATCTGAGATGGCTGGATTTAGAGATAACAAAACTGCATTTAGAGAAAACAAACAAGTACTCATCCCAGTACCCTTATTCACAATTTGCTCATACTGAACATCCTTTCAACACACTTACTGTTTGACTTTACTGCTACACCTGTATACTGTAATGATTTCTAATCCATAGTCACCCAGAAGAGGATGGATCCTGTCAAGGTTTCTTCCTCATGTGGTCTCAGGGAGTTTTTCCTTGCCACTGTCACCTCTGGCTTGATCATTTGGGTCTATATCGAGATTTCTGTAAAGCTGCTTTGTGACCATGTCTATTATTAAATGTACTCTACAAATAAAATTGAAAGATAATTGTGGAAGCGGGGGCGTTGGTCACCAGCCCTCTGAATGAGCTCACTAAAAAGGGAGTGCCAGATCCAGTCCAATGGATGAAGCCATGCCAGCAGGCTTTCACTCAGGTAAAAGCTGTACTTTGTGGCAGCCACTTTTACATTCTCCTGACTTCTCTCTCCCTCCCTTTTGTTTTACTGACGGACGTGCCGGACAGGGGGTTAGTGGCTGTGTTGTCCCAGGTGGTGGTGGGGGAGGAACGCCCTGTGCTGTACATCAGCCTGAGTCGGGTGGTGGGGGTATGTGGAAGCGGGGGTGAGGTCGAGCGCTGGTTTGTGAATGGAGGGCTGATCCACAGAAGGTGAGTGGTAAGGGTAGTACACCTGAGAGGACTTTTACTAACGAGGGTTCTGTGTTGCAGTGAGCTGAGGCGAGGATAACGCAGCGAGAGGTGCACGGTGGCTTAGTGGTTAGCTTGTTTGTCTTGCACCTCCAAAGTTGGGGGTTTGGTTCCTGCCTCCTCCTTGCCTGTCTTTGATATTCATTACAATAATGAATAGTCAGCAGTATTCCCATAACCTGTGAGGCACTCTTTCCACATTGCTATCTGAATTATGCTACAGTTATACTGTATAAGTGCTGCTCGAACATGCTAAGGTACTAATCAGTTTGGGCAATTGATCAGGTCCATCATCCAGCTGCATCAACGCTGGGCCAAACAAACAGTTCATCATCCTGCCATAGAAATAACGAGGTTGGGGAAAGTTCAACAATTCACAAGTTATGAAGTTAGTCATGCTTGTTGCTGGTCTGTTTCTGTAGCCCCCATGCTGCTACATGATGACACAAACAATAAGCCACATATCTGTTCTAATGACAGTCAAATGTGGAAAGTATAGTAATAGTAAGTCAAACACTAGAATTACCAACACCATTTGTATGTCGGTAATGGCACACATTTAACAGTAACAAAACTGGACTTATTAGCAAGAAACAAATAATTATGGTACTTTATTTTAGTATCTTTGAATCCACCTTCTCAATTCCTCAGCAAAGTGAGAATGGGAAAGAGGATAAGCATTATTTTTTTTCTGGTTTCCCACATGGGGTCACGGTTGTGAGGTGGCAGCTTTGCTACTGGTATGCTACTGGTGCTACTTGGTATGGAAACAAGCACACAAGAAGACTCCACGAGTTCTGAAGGATATCATCCTGGTAGCTCCGAACCTAGTTTGAGCAAAAACTGATCTAAAACACTATGTAGAATGATCTAATGAATGATATTCAACTATCACTACCATTCACATAAGGATGAGCCTTTTTAACTTAGCACTAAATATGTGAGCTCATTTTCAGTGGTGTGTGTGTGGTGGCTGTGGAATGCATAAGGGAATGTAGTGTGGAGTTAAACAGAGAGGGGGAGTCTGGTGAGTGCACACAATGTCTTTGTGTTTCCCTACATGCCTCTCAGTCACGCAACAACACTGTTTGGGCAAGTTCTCAAAACCAGCCCGACTCTCTCTCTCTCTCTCTCTGTGTGTGTGTGTTTGTGCGTGCGTGCATGTGTGTGTCTGGCTGTCTTTCTCCATTGCTTGAAATTCAATTTCTCTGGTGTGGTAAACTTTCAATGCTTGCAGTCTAACTTCAATGTTTTGCTTAGTTTGAAAGCTGATGGCCCACTTCAAGCAACTTAGAGCTGTTACTAGCACTTAAATAACAATAATGTGTTGAGATAGAAAACACTGACCATGTAAAGTCTATTTAATTCATCTAATCTAGACTAGAAAAGTGTTTGCCACACTCATACCATCTAGAGGGGCAATGCTGACTTGGAGGGGCACCTTCTGGACTATTAGCATGTTTAGCTCTGGTTGTGTGATTAAAAAGGGATGGAAGCACCATTCCATTCCTGTGTGGCTGTGTGGGCAGCTCAGTGGATGTCCAGTTGGTGGTAGGTCAATGCAAGACTCTAATCAGACGCACCGATTTATGTATCTGCCATTGGGTGCCCTAAATAATCAACTTTCTGCCATACCTGTAGCCTACATGAATTTTTGTCATAAGAAATTTAAGTG